ACCCTCCCCCACTCCCCTCCCCCACTCCCCTCCCCCTCCTCCTCCCCCCATTCCCCTTCCTCCTTCCTCCCCTCCCCTTCCCTTCTCTTCCCACCATGGCAACGATAATTAGCTTCCGCCACTTTCCGCTCTCCAATTTTGTTGTGATGCTGTCACTCGTGGCAGTTGTCCAAGGAGGTGTATGGAGGGCAGGACCCGATGGAAGCGGGCCTGGCACTCCTGCGAACCGCGACGACTCTGCTGCAGCTGCTCTTGGCGGATGTCTTTACGTGATCGGCGGGAAGACCGATATCGGAATTTCTAACGATGTGTGGCAGCTGTGCGGCAACGAGTGGACCAGCATGGCAGTCGACATGGCTCCGCCGCACACGGCGTCGCCATCAGCGCCGCCTCCGCCACCACTGCCTTTCATGGAGGACCATGTTGTGACGTCGCTCGAGCCGGATGTGCTGTTCGTTTTTTGGAGCAGTACGTGTGGATGGCCAACACTACCGATGCGCCCCTCGGTGCGCTGCTCTTCTCTGGGCCGTACGGCCCGTTGCCTGGTGGCGCCAGCTTGAAGGATGCAACAGGCGTCGCTGTCACCGATCCTACCTCAGGCGTCCCGCACTTTATCATCTTTGGAGGCCTTGATCGGAATTCTCTGGCGAACCCGACGTCAAACAAGTTATACGACTTTGATTCGGCCACGGGGGACATCTCGCTGCTCCAGGTCTCGTCTACCACGGGCCTACTTCCCCTACCGCGCGAGGACTCGTTCATGGCACTCGCAGACGACGGCCTCGTCTACATGTTCGGCGGCGCATTTGGCGACGACGTCCTCGACGACATGTGGACCTTTGACTATGGTCCGCGGATCTGGCAACCGATCCCGCGCCCGTCTGATCCTGCCGCCGTCTGGCCGCCGCCGATCGAGGACGAGGTCATCGTCCCGCTGGGAGATCCGGCACGGACACTGGCTATGGTCCATGGCGCCGACGCAGGTGGTGCCGTCTACCTCTACTCGATTGACAGCGGATTGTGGACGTATGACCCGATCACGCTTGCACCCCTGGCTCAGAGCCCAAGCCTCAGCTCAGGCCTCGCCCCGCTCGTCGCCAACACAACTGCCGACGAGCCGGCGGTTGCAGTTGCACCGAGCCGGAAAGATCACGTCGGAGGCCGTGTCTCGGCGACCGAGCTTGTCATCTTCTCTGGTTCGCTGGAGGAGATTGATATCAAGGCTGGCGACGTGTGGTGGTACTCGGTGGCGGATTGTCCCAACAACTGCTCTACCTCACTTCCTCGCTCGAGCGAGAATGCTTGCGGCAGCCTCGGCATCTGCTCATGTAGCGCACCTGTTCTTGACCTCGCCGCGCTCCTCGCCAGCAGCCCGACAGACGCCGAGTCGGCTCTGAGCGAGTACGCTCACAACACGCTGCTGGCGCTACTCCCGGACTGTCGGCCGCGGCTGGTTGTCCACCCGCCACCGCCGCCACCTCCGTCACCAGCCGCACCACCGCCGCCTGTACAGATCGTTGCCATGCCTCGCCAGCATCGTCAGGCAAGACACTTGCTCTGGCGCTTGGCGTCAGCATTCCTCTGATTATCATCATTGGTTTTGGTGTGGCCGCCATCATGTTCTTTCTGCATCGTCGTCGGTCGGCACAGGTCACCTACCGCCTTGACGCGCACTCGGACATCATCATTCCGTTTGACGAGCTCGAGCTGGGTGCTTTGCTCGGCGCCGGCGCGTACGGCGTGGTCCATCGCGGAATGTGGAAGGGCGACGTGGTGGCGGTCAAGCAGCTATCGCTATTGGCGTGCTCGGACCCTCCCGCAGACGAGTCGTCCAGCGCGAGGGCACCCGATGCCGAGCAAGCCGAGATTCCCGAGGCGGTCATGGCCGAGTTTGCCGCTGAGGCCTCTGTGCTCCTTGCCTGCCGGCACCCCAACATTACGCTCCTTCTCGGAGTAGCGCTCGACCCGCCGGCGCTCGTCTCTGAGTTTATGTCGCGCGGCTCGCTGTTTGCGGTCCTCTCAGCCGAGGACATCGCGCTCGACGTGACGATGGTCTACTACTGGGCGGCTGGTCTCGTTTCTGGCCTCCGCTTCCTTCACTCTAACGACATCACCCACCGCGACATCAAGTCGCTAAACGTGCTCCTCTCGGACGGCTGGATGCCCAAGCTGACCGACTTTGGCCTCTCCAAGTTTGCCGCCGTCGAGGCCGAGCCTCAAGGCACTGGAGGTGGCAAGGGCAAGCAAACGGCCTCGCCGTCGCCAAGCAATGTACCCATGGAGCTCGATGCGCCGCTGGGCACCCTGCTGTGGACCGCACCCGAGGTGCTGGCGTCGACAGTCGACTCTCACGCCATTGCCGACATCTACTCGCTTGGCGTGGTCATGTGGGAGATGGCATCGCGGCTCCCGCCCTACGGCTCGGCATCCGATCCGATTGTCGTTGCTCTCGAGGTCATGGCGGGGACAGCCAAGCTCCCGAACGACGTCCTCATGCCGGGCCTGCATCCGGTGTACGTCTCGGCCTTGTACGCGGCCCTCGCGCATGATCCCAACCAACGAGCGACGCTGGACGATCTTGCCGAGCGGCTGTCTACCATCAACAACCCATCGCGGCTGGTATACCCGTCATCGGTCCGGGAGCCCGAGGGCGATGTCTACACCTTGACGCTCATTGTGCCCGGACTTGAGCACTTACTGGGATCGGCTGGCGAGGCCAGCGTCGGGCCGCATATGAAGGCCTTCCACTCTCTGGTTCGCGACAACTTTTCGTCGCTGTCGGTCTTTCTGGAGACCTGGTCAATCGAGTCGATTGTGGGCGTGTGCGCACGGCCGTCGCAGGTTACAAAGGCCCTTTCTCTTGTGATGCGGGACGTGGAGGCGGCGTGGTCACAGCTGCCGCCCACGCCGCTTACCTTGATTGCATTGGTGTCGACCGGCGAGGCTGAGACCGGCCCCATGGATCCACGGACCGGCAAGTCAACGTACTCGGGTTCCGCACTAGAAAGCGCGCATGAGTTGCGGACCACAACGCGGTCATTGGCGCTGGACAAGGGCGTGCCGCCGAGCATCGCGTCAGTGGCACCGTCCAAGGAGCTGCCAGACGTTGTTGTCGATGACGAGGCGCACCCGATGCCGTTTGTGGTGCTGATGGCGAAAGAGGCGTGGGAGGCGTGTGGTCCTGGGCTCTTGCTCGACGCGTACGAAGGCGTTAGCGCCGGATTCATCCACTTTGCCGCACCGCATCTGGCTGTTATCTCCAACGCTGTCGGAGCCGGCGCTGTGTGGGCCATGTCGGGCGATGTGGATGCGCGGCTCCGGTCGCTGCAGACAGCCTGGAATCAGCTGATGACGGAATCACACGAGCACCACGACCTGCCGCTCATGCCGGCCAAGTTTGTCAAGTCGTGCATCCGCGAGATCAACCGCATCGGAACTGGCTCGTTTGGCCGTGTCTTCATGGCCTCGACAACTCGTAGCGGCTCGCCAGACGTTGCGGTCAAGGTCATGCTGCAGGACCGCCTAGCGCCCAACGCGCTCGTCGACTTTGCCACGACGCTGTTCTCGGCTCATCAGGTCATGGCGTCGATCCCGTGCGTGTCCCATGTAGCGAGCGTTTGCCTCGACGCAGGCTCGCTGGCAATGGCTTCGGCGCTGGTACCGGGCAAGTCGCTGGCGCAGACCGACTACATTCCGCTCTCCAAGGCGACCCGAAGCACATACATTCTCCTGGTGGCGCAGGGCCTTGCAGCGCTCCATGCCGCCGGCGTCGTCCACGGCGCAATCAAGCCGGGCAACATCCATCTCCCCGATGCATCATCGTCGGCTCCGGCTGCAATCATGTTCTCAGACGTTGGCGTTTGGTCGCTCAAGGCGAACCTCAACACGGTGACAGTCTCGCCGTCGGTGGCGTATACCACGCCGGAGCAGCTGATCGGCATGATTCCGACCGAGTCGTCGGACGTATACGCAGCCGCCATGGTCATTCTGGAGATCCTCTGCCCGGCCGCCTTTCCGACTTCTGCAGCGTGCCTGCCATGCAGCTAGCCATGATCATCATGGCCGGCGACGTCATCGACCCGCTGAGCCTCGGCATCCCATCATGTCTCACCTCGGTCCTCTCCTCGGCGCTCGCGACCTCGCCTGACTCGCGGCCGACTGCGGCCGACTTGGTTGCCGCCTGCCAATTGCTGTAGCTCCATCGCCCGTGCTCATCGCTTGGTAACCCAGCATAGTAGCAAGTGCAGGAGCAACATGGGCAGTAGGAGCAGGAGTTGCAGCAGCAACATCATATTGTGGAGACCAAGACGCATACGTAGCCATCGAAGCCGCCAGCAAGCAGCCGGCTAGCAAGCGTTCAAGCCGCTTCATGGTGATGCGACACCATCATCACACAACGTCCATGCCACCGAGAAGTTGATGCAAGCCCCCATCTGACATCCTGTCTTATCAAACCATGAACACACTCGCCCATCATCACACCATGTCTGCATCGCTCCCATGCACTCGCTCCCCGGGCTACAGCTTCCCGCTCCGCCCTCCACCACTCCCTCCCGCACTACCCAACTCACCCCGCACCCACTCGACTCTCCGACCTCGGCCCAGGCAAGGCAGAGCACCATGGCGCACTCTACGCAAAAATATGCCGTGAACGTACACGGGATGGACCCTCAGCATCTCATTGACGAGCTGACGCGGAGTAGGGTGTTCCGGACGAGGTACTACGTGTCCGAGTGTGTGGCGCTCGACGCCCGCTCGCTGCTCGACAAGGCTATTTGTCTCAAGTATGCCGGCGGGACATACGGCTCGCATGGTCGGCCCACGCCGTTTATATGTCTGCTGCTCAAGATGTTGCAAGTCCAGCCGGCAATCGAGGCTGTTCAGGCTATGATCGCTAATAGCGAGTTCAAGTACCTTCGCCTCCTCGCTGCCATGTACCTCCGACTCGTCGCGAGTCCGACCATCATCTACGCTGCTCTCGAGCCGGTGCTTGACGACTATCGCTCGCTGAGAGTGCGTCAGACAGGCGGTATGGTCCGCATGCACATGGACGAGCTCATCGAGCGCCTTCTGGTCGCCACAGAGCTGTTTGGCGTCATCCTCCCACGCATGCCGCCCCGCATTGTTCTCGAGGAAAATGGCCTGGTCGGGCCGTATCACTCGGCCCTGATGGACTTGCCCCAGGATGCTGTGCCGATGGATGACGGGCTGCGAGTGCTAGCTCCAGAGCCGACACCGGCTCCGGAGCTGCCGTCGATCGACGACGAGGAGGCGCGTCGCGCTGCGCGTGCCGCCAAGCGGGCGGCGCGCCGGGCACGCCGCGGCAGCTCGGACTCGGACTCGGACTCGGATTCCGAGTCGGACTCGGACTCGGAGGTCGGCTGGGCGGCTGTCCTTGACACGCCCAAAGACGGCGAGCAATCCGAGGACGAGCCGGGCGTGGCGTCGGCGCGCAAGCGGCAGAAGCTCCTCGCCGATCACCGGGCACACATCGTTGCCACTGCACACGCCCAGCCCACCCAGGCGGCGACTCCAGGCGATCCGCATGCCCGGCGCGGTGCGTTTGACGACATTGTCATCGATGATAGCCTCGTTGTGCCGCGTGGCGGCGATGTCGAGCACCGGGTCGCGGCGTGGAACAGGGTGCGCAAAAGTACGGCCTCAAGCCGCTGCGACCGTAAGCCGACTACGGCTCGCCTTGAGCCCGCGGCCTCGGTAGGCAGCACCTTTACCTGCAATCGGTCTCACTCGTCGTCATCGTCAAACTTGACCACCTTGGGGTTGGCCGGCGCGGTGTCGATGTGGGTGACGGCGGCCTTGCGAGCCTTCTTGGCCTCCCACGACGGATGCAGCTTCTTCGGCGGCTTGGCCGGCTTGGCCTGGGCCTGGGCCTTGGCCTTGGCCTGGGCGGCCAGCTCGGCACGCTGGGCGGCCTCTGCGCGGCGCTGGAACTTGCGCTGCCGGCGCTCATACTCTTCGGCCTGGCGCTGGACATGCTTGGCATTCTCGCCAAACCTGGCCTCGGCCATGCGCTGGCGGTCACGCTGACCCATGCGGTTCTTCTTCCTCTTCTTCTTGGCCGGCGGCTCGGCGCCGGGCTCGCTAGACTCTGCGGTGTGGGTGCGCTTGCGCTTGGACTGCGGCGGGCCAGCTGCGGCGGCGAGTGAGGCCACAAACAGACCGTCGTCGATCGGCTCGCCGTCGTCAAAGACCGGAACGGGCGGCGGGCGGCGCTCGGCCTCGGCCGGCTCGTCGACCACAACCTTGCCACCTGACGAGGCGTGGACAACCTGGGCGTACTCTTCGTCAAGCAGGCCGATGAGCTCGGCCTTGGCATTCGCCGCCTCGGGCCGCGACGCCACCAGCTCAAGGATGGTAGCTGGCGCCTGCGGCGCGCTGTCGATGGCGTACCCGTGGTTGCGAGCAACCTTGTTGACCTCGCCCGCCACAACGTCGATGATAGTGCCAACAAACTTCTTGGCGTCGCGGGTCACGTTAGCGCCGTGTGGTCTGGGGTACCACGTCAGCTTGGCGGAGAGCAGCTTCTTGAGCTTCTCGCGGCGGGTCCAAGCCTGGAAGACCGAGCCGGTGCTGGCGGCCTTGAGCGCCTCGAGTCGGGCCTCCTGCTTGGCCAGCTCCGTGGCAGCAGCCTTTTCCTTGCGCAACTTCTTGATCTTGCGGATGAGCTTGACCTTGGCCTTGGACATGCCGGACTTGATGCCGGCCCACAGCCGCGTGAGTCCTGTAAACGCCCGCTGCGCCGCACGGATCCGCCGGAGCTCGGCGAGCTTCTTCCGGTTCGCGTAGTACTCTTCCCGCACCCGCTTGGCCTCGGCCAGCAGCAGCGCCCGCCGCGTCTCCTTGCTCCCGCTCGACTCGGATCCCGACCCACTGCCATCGCCGTCTCCTCCGGTCTTCTTTCCGGCCAGAGGCCCAGTGCCCGCGCCCGAACCCGAACCAGAGCTCGAGCTTGAGCTCGACGATCCGCTCGACGAGCTGCCCGACTGCGAGTTTGAGGCCGAGCCCGAGCCCGAGCCCGTGTCCGAGCCCGTGTCCGAGCCCGACGCGCTCGCTGCCTTTGGCGCAGCCGGCTTTGCCTCGCTCCCGCTCTCGGTCTCGGTCTCGCTCTCGCCATCCTCGCTGCCATCCTCGCTGCCACGTTGGGCGGCCGCTTGCTCGGCCTGCGCACGCTTCTGGCGCTGCTTTTCCTCCCACAGCGGAGCAAGTGCTTCTGTTCTCTCCCTCCGCACCTTGCGGGTCTTCTTCAGCAGCCGTGCCTTGCGAATGGAGACATAGTAGCCGCAGGCAGCCTCCAGCTTGGAGATCTCCCATGCAAGGTTCTTGATGGACGCTGACATTGATAAACGCAACGACCGATAATCGACACGAGTGGCTCGCCGTGTGGTTCTCAGCCGTGATCGGGTCCGACGCGCAAGTCATTGCCATCGGATGCGAGGGCATGCACAGACGGTCAAGTCAAGACAGTCACAAGGACGGCTGCGGGAACGAAGCGCAACCGTAGCCATTCAATCCATCGCTCAACCCTCGCTTCCTTTGCTACTGGGGCACAAACTGACGCACGGTGAGATTGCCAACAAACGCGGCTGTCCCCGAACTCGAGTCGATCCACTCGCCGCAGGTAACAAGTAAGTCATCGGTCGTCGCGAGACCAAGAACCGAGTTGTCGCCGACGTCGCGGAGCAGTCGCGGCCGGCGAGTCACTCCCAGCGGATCGTCCCGGTCGGCATCGACCCGCGACCAGAGGACAACCTCGCTGTAGGCGGCAAAGCCAAACTTGGCCTCGTCGAGAACAAACCCGTGCGGCGTCCCTCGCCCGGTCAGATACTCCCCCCGCATCTCAAGCCGGCCGTCGCACCACACAAAGTGCGAGACGCTGCCGTGAATGCCAGAGCCCTCATCGGCGGCCGCACTCGGCCCGGCACCGCCGGCATCGCCCGCGTCGGGGCGGACATCGATGAGTCGTCCCCCGCCATTCGAGCTCAGTGCTGCGCTGAACACAACGTCGTCACCGTGGACACCGACAAGCGTTCCACGGCCGGGCAGCTCGAGCGTTTGCAGCGGAGAAGACGGCCGCCGCGCGTCGTAGACCGCGACGGTCGACTCTTCAGCAGCGGCGTACACCAGCTGAGCGCCGCCAAGGACCTGTGCCGCGAGCGAGACGACCGGCCGCTGCGCTGCCACCATCTCGCTGGCCGCACACCCCTGCCGCACATCCCACATCACCACCCGCGCATCCTGTCCGCACGAGAGCACAACGTCGCCGTCTGCCCACGGCGCGGAAACCACGTCCCACACCGTCCGCGCGTGGCCGCCGGCACTCTCGTCGAGCCGAGCCACCACATTGCCGTTTGCGCGGTCGATGAGCCGCAGCGCGCCCCCGAGTTGGCGGTGAGGCCGACAGCAAAGGTTGAGCCATCGCAGACTGCCAGCGCGTTGATGTTGTTGAGCCCGAGATCAAACCGCGCCGTTGGCATGACATGTGTGAGGCCGCCGGTGGCCCCAAGCGCGTACGTCACCACGGCGCCGTCCCACCCTCCGGTCATCAGCAGGCCGTCGCTGGTAAACTCGGCTGTGGAGATCATCGCCGAGTGGACAGAGGTGCGGAAGGCCGGGACAAAGTCGACGCCCTCGCCACCGGGCACACCCCTGCCCACCTTCTTGCCCTTTCGCCCTGCTTTCGGCAACGTTGAGCCCGATGGATCCAGATACACAACATCACCAGTCATCCATCGCGCGTGATGCGCGGCCCGAGCTACGTACCCAGCCTTGCCGCTCTGGAGTGCCCGGCCCGAACCCCCATACGCCGATCCCCAGACTACGCTTGAGCGCTTGTTCCACAATCCGCTGTCGACCGCCAGCCGGTGCCACGCCCTCGCCACGGCCGAGGCCGCCGCCAACGAGCGATCGTCGAGCTGCTCCAGAATCATGAGCGCCACTTCGTCCGGGAGGCCAAGGACCCGCTCGTTGGTCGCCGAGAGGAGCCTGTTGGCCTCCAGCCGGCGTGCCGTCAACCACGTCCCCTCGGTCGGCTCGTCTTCAGGCAGCCAGCTGGAGGGAATGGTGTACATGCGGCCGTCGACATGGACGGTGGCTGATGTTCCGTCAGGACTCTTGCCGGTGTACAGCACATTCATGTCAGCGCTCAAAGCGGGGGGAGGGGGGGAGGGGCGTCGTTGAGTGGCCGCCGTTCTTTCGGGTTGGCGGCCGGTCGGCCGTCGACAGGCAGACCGCCAATGCGAGTGGGAAGCAGACAGTTCCCGACATCGAGGGTTTAGGGTCGGAGGTGAGCAGGGGAAAACAAAGTCAGCGTGCCGAGAGCCACCGGTTCCGGCGCCGGAGCCACGACTGCAAGCAGGAGTGACAAAGGAGGGTGAGTGGGGCGTTAGAAGCGGTCGTCCTCGCCCATGTCAGGCATCTCTTCGCCGTCCTTGCCGACGTTGTCGCGGAGGCGGTTGCGCTTGCGGAGAAGAACAAAGGCAGCGATAATGCCAGCAATGATGAGGATGAAAAGGATGACGGCGATGATGATGCCGGCGATGACGCCAGCGGACATGCCGGACGACTTCTGGACAATGACGGGCGCGACAACGGCGTCGGTGGTGTCGTTGAGCGGGTTGTCGACCGGCGGCTGGCACTCGGAGCCGTTGCACGAGGGTCCGTAGTCGACCTCGACAAAGGTAAACTCGACCGAGGTCTCCTTGTACTGCATCGACGACTCGTCGCCCTCGCGGCCGAGGTCCCAGCCCTTGATGACGACCGAGGCGATCGAGCCGCCAACGAGCGCACCCTGGGCGTGGGTGAAGAGCACAAGCTTGTCACCGTACTGAACCTCGTCCTGGATGGCGGTAATGTCGAGAACAACTGGCGCGGCAAGCTGGATGGTCGATGCCGGGCCAAACGAGAGCCACGGCGTGTCAAACTGCGTCTTGTTGGTGTACACAATAAGGATCTGACCCGCGGTGAGGACCACGTTCGAGTTGATGACAGCCGTTGTCGGCGCGTTGACAACCACCCGGCCGCGGTCAGTGAGCCCGAGCGGGCCGCCGGCAATGGTACCGACCACGCCTACCGGCCACACCACGTCCGAGTTGAGCTTCATCGGCGAGCCGAGCGCGTCGACCGGCGGCATGACCAGCTGGTTGTCGTTGGTGTTGCCAAACTTGATCACCGAGCCCTTCTGCGTCTGCAGCTCGTGGATGAGCGCAGTGATGCAGGTCCCGGACGCGCACTCGAGCGAGAGCTCGCCAAAGAGCAGGCCACCCAGGCCCGAGCCGTCGACTGCAAGCTGCACGTTACCAGCCTCGGACGCCTGCCGAAGGGTGCAGCCAAAGTTGATCTTCGGCGCCACAAGCGGCGCCGTGTCGCCCTTGACGTTGAGCACATGCACCGCACCGTCAAGGCAGGTGTACGAGCCAAGGTCAAACGTCTGCTCCGTGTCGATCGTCACCGTCGTCACCGTTCCGGCCCGTCCATCAAGCCCGCCAAAAGTGAACCGGCCGCCGGGGTTCATCACCACGTTGACCGCAGTGCCCGACCCAAGCGCGAGCACAAGCGGAAAGTTGATCTCCGCGTTAGTCGCTGCAAGGTCCAGCGTGCCCTGGTTGACAAGCACCACCGCGTTGGCAGAGAGCGCCCCTGAGCCGAGACCGCCAGAAGCCACCACCGAGAACCGATCACTGTTCGAGTCCATCTGCACGCTCATGCCCGCAAGGAACCGCACGTTGCGGTCAGAATTGAACACAAGGCCCACGTTGGCAGAGCCAACCGCCTTCAACTGTGCTGTCGACCGCATATCCGTGTTGGAAATCCAAAACGTCGTCGGCTGGTCGTTAGCCACGCCCGGACGCCCGAGCTGGACCTCGGTCAGCTCGACCACAGACACGTCTGACCGGAGCAGGATGTCACAGCCGCCTGTGCACGACGCCGAGCTCGGCGAGTACAGAGAGACAGAGCCACCCACGCCCGCAAGCCCAGGGACACTCACAGACGGCATCGCCGACGTGTCGGTATCAAGCCACGTCGTCCGGTACAGCCAGTCCACAAACGAGGCCGGTCCGCCCGAAGGCGCAGCAGGGACAGCCGGCGTCTGTACCGCGCCCTCATTCGGTCCAGCAAGAATATACTGTCCAGAGCAGCACGCAATCATGCCAAGTACAAGCACTCCAATAGCCACAACAACACGCGTCATGGTGATGTCTGTCGCCCATCCCGCCACGTGCCAACCCAACCCGCCAGGAACGCCATCGATCAAACCGCAGCCCGCCACCCACCGCCCAAGCACGCGCCCCGCCAACATTCCATTTCCAGCCCCGTCGCCCCGCACACCACCACATGCCGCCCCCCACACGCGCAAACCATGACCGTCACATTAACGTCCACTGTTCATGTGAGTCATTCGCCTTGTGCACCTCCTTTCCCCCCACACAGCTCCACCACCACATTGGTGGTTGGGGGGAGGAAGACCCCCAAAAAAACGCCCAATGGCCTTTTGGCTGTCGCGACGAAGGGGGGGGGGGGGGGGGGCAGGAAGGCCCCTGGCAGCCATGGTACGACAGAAGCAGGCCTTGCTATTACGACTATGGGTATGTGGGACATAGTTGTGGTATGGTGGGGATCAATGCGCCACGCTCTCCCCACTGTGAAAAGGTAGGCAAGCTGGGAGCAGGTCGCCCTGCCTGCCCTTTGTCCGCACGTGAGGGCCGGCGGCGACTTACACGGGAAAGGAGAGAGGGGAATGCGTCTGCGATTGACCGACAAACACCGTTTTCCGCCGCACTCTGCACGACGAGAGTCGCCGCAGAAAAAAACAACGATGCGCTCGCAACGCCCGACAGTTGGCTTCACCCCGCCCCCCCGGATACCTGCAGACGAAAGGCTGGGCAAAGGCTCTGGCTGCGGAGTGATGGAGCTCGATTGCTGTTGGTGCTAATCGGTGAAGATGGCGATGGCGGGCGTGTAGACGTGGATGCGTGTGACTGTGAATGGAATGATGCCAATTACCATTGTCAGACCTTTCTGACGTGACGCGGAATCAGTAGCAATGACCATTGGTGGACATGGGCGAACAGCCATTGCGTTTCAGCAGCAAAGAATGGCCGTCAGACGCGTCGTTCACCTTCCCAACGATAAACCAAACATGAGCGCATCGATGGAACCAGGACAAGACCAGGGCTCCGAGCTCGATGACCTCGACCACCACCACATCGCCATCACAGTCATCACAGCCATCACTCCCCCCCCCCCCCCCCCCCCCCCTTGTGGGCGCTTTTGGCTCCGTCGTCTGCGGTACTGTAACCCCGGAAGGACGGAGGAGCCGGGGGTTGCCGCCGAACAAAAAAATCCAAATACCCCTCATTAGATCTTTGTATAGTTAAAGGCCCCGGGACTAATATTGCTGCAAGCATCTCTGACCGTCATGTTGGATTCGTCCGACATCACCAAGGACGCCCGCGCCGCGCCCCCAGCGCCCGCGAACACGGCTGTCGGCGATGT